TAGAGATAAGACATCTTTAGCAATCGATTTATTACTTACATAATTAGCAAACGATTAATATTAGAATATCTCTTAATTATGTTCACGACAAACCAGATTCTTCTGTTACTTGCTACAACATAAATTCTATCAGCTGATCGTCCGGTGCAATAAATTACTCGCTCTCTGTGTAAAATCACGTGTAATCGAAAGAGCAAACAATTACCTCTCCGATCCAAACTATCAATAACAAAGCACTGTCGTTCACACATGCGCGATGAAAGTTAAATGATAGAAATATATCGCGGCAGTTGCATAGTTTATTTGTTGATATACGATCGCACAAAACATGTTCATCAACAAACGATCTGTCATACTTCACGCAAGATATAGATCGTCTTGTGACGCACAACGCTTCGTCCTGGCGAATTTTCTAACGGATAACCTCTTTCGAAAACAACAGTTCGATCGGTACATCGATCCAGTGACCGAAACGAACGACAGGCGGCTCTGAATTCGACTCGAGAGGTCGCAGGCGACTCATCTCGCGGTGGTGCATGCGACGAGAGGAGTGTGTAACGGGCCAACGGGCCACTTACGTGTTGGTTGGTGGAATTAGTTTCTTTTTTTGAGGCAGGTCACTGACACCGAACGACGATGGATTGACGCGGCGGGGTCAAGTTCTACGTATGCCGTCGACAGTGCCTCGAGAGTTTAAAGGTGTCGCCGTATCGAGCATTCCTTGCGGGATATCGCGTTACGGAACCATGATCAATCGTCTAAACCTAGTCTATGACTATAGAACGAAGGATGTAAATTGTAAATCGTTGAGAAAGCTGCATGAAACGCTGTTGCTTGTAAGCGGCTCACAATACACGTTTACCTTAGAATGAGAGAAAGGTGTTTCATACGTTGTTTCTCATTAATTTATGCTGAAACGTATAGTTTGTGACCCCATTATATTTTAAGTAATAGTTGCGTAACATTGACAACCGATTGAAACTTTGGTTCAATGCGCGTGCAACATTACCTATTTTACTACACGAAGTAAATATACTTGGAAAAATGCGCGAAACTAGTTTTCCTAGTTGACACTAATTTTCCAATTTACGAACAGCAGGGTTACATTACACGCTGTTTAAGTCAGCTTTTATATCGTATCGTTACTCGTGTTTAAAATGTCACGTATTAGGTTAAGCTGCTTCGAAACGTATGCATATATATACCGCCAAGTATTGTTTTTATTAGTTCTAATTGTATAAAATTTGCATTCTAAGGATCTTTGAAATCAAGAAGTCTGATAATTTTTTACCGTGATTTCTCATGAAACATGTATATGCGAGAAACTCATAATATTATACAGAATCCATAAAATCATCGGAGAATGAAGGAATGATATACAATGAATTAAAACGTAATTACAATTATCCACAAAGTTAGCTACATGTTGAAGTTATAAAACAAAGTATGAATAAGTGTATAATACAGTGTAATAATTTTCAAAGCAATCTCTGAATGCATCTTTCAGAGCAACTTTTAGAGTCAGTGCGAAAAATGTAGAAATAAATTTGTAGCATAAGAACGAAAATAACGGTGCGAACATAGAAATTTGTGATTAATTATCTTGAGCTTGAGGAACTACTAAATTTTATTTCATTTTCTTCGTTTCCGTTATAACTTCAGTATGTGTAATAAATATTTCTACATTGTTAAATATATTAATTAAATCTTAAAAATAGGTAGAAAGTAAATTGATACTATTATCAATGTAATCTTTCTTTTCCTGATCGAATAAGTCTTTCGAGAAATTATGTCCAATTCAATACGTTCAACGAGTATTTCACATGACCAAACGAATCACATCTAATCAATATTCGTGAGAACATTCGTGTAAAAATAATATAATTAAATCAGTGCAAAAAATATTTTCAACACAATTCGAATTATCAGTAGCAAACGATAAATGGCAACGGCAACGGTAGTGTTAAAAATTAGAAATAACAGTGAACTCTTTCGCAGAGTGTGTAAGTATGTAATGTCAGACATTACGTTAAAATCTCCCACATAAATTTCAACGCGAGACAAGCACATCCTTTCGTTTATCACTTCCTGAAATCTGATTTCAATTTTATTAGTCTGCTCTAAATTTCTACTTCCGCGTATGTAGGAACGCAAGATAACATCCTTAATTGAATATTTTGTCAAATTTGTAAAAGTTTTCATTGCTTGATGAAATACGAATTTGAATTAAATAAGAATTTTCTACCCATTGGGTAGAAAATTAATTATTTTTCATTGGAAATTTATACTGCCTAGGTTGAAAAAGTTTTAAATAATATCTACAATATTTACAACAGACGTGGAAAAAAGCAAAAGAAAACTTATTGTGATATAGCTGAGGATTCACTTTCTAGGATTTAAATTCACAGTGAAAGTGCCTATCAGAGGCGTGCAGCATTAAACACCTGCAGGAACTTAGCACCGAATAAATATTGTAATTAACTAGTTCCTTGGTTTACTTGAGAAGTTACAATAGTAAGAAAGTCATAGATTTGCGTACGCTGTCCGAGATAAGAAAAAATATCGAATCTACAATGTGCTAAGGAAATCAGATCTTCGATAAAAAAATTCCTTTCTATTCGTTTTATTTCTCATATTTTGATCTATATATTTACCTGTATCGCGAGTTATTATCATCAATTTTAGATTATTGTAATATGTTTTGAATTCAACACATGAATTGTATTATGTTTTAAGTTATGCTCGAGTAACTTGCAAAAAGTTATTACAAGATATTATATTATATTATTTCCCAAAATGTATTTATAGTTTCATTAAATTCCTTTAATTATGTATCATTAATTTTATTATATTATATTATTAATCCCATTAATTATATTATATTATTTTCCAAAATGTATTTATAGTTTCATTAAATTCCTTTAATTATGTATCATTAATTTTTGACAGTGACAGTCTTCGAGCTAAGAGTGCAATTACATCTCTGATTTTTATTTTACTTGCCCGTTAACATTCAACGAACCAGAATAAAATAGACAATACTATTACTTCCAAGATGAGGCCAACTCGGTATAAATCGGATGACATATTTCCACCAGATTCTAGAAAAGATGTAACAGATTGTTATTGACATAGAAGCTGTATTTATAAAATATAGCTGTATTATAAAATAACATAGCTGTATTTACAAAAATATATCGCGATAAATTTATAAAATGTTCAACTTTAGAGTTGAAAGATACATAGGTGATGCAGGTAAGAAATTTTTAAAAAATTGTTTTGTTATTCTTCTCTCGCCGACGTTTCCTCACCATAGTCGTAATATTGCAGTGGTTCCGTGGATTCATCCTCACAGTCTTCTTTCACGGATCTGTTCTCTATGAAACTGTTCTTTTCGGCCTTGTCGACCTCTTGCTTACCCTCCAAAGCATTCACTGCGCTATCGGACCTTGCCTCTCGAATGTGCTTCCTGGGATTTCGACGATCCTTCGCGGAACCTCCAAGTCCAATCTAAAAAAACCCAGGAAAAGCTTTGTGCCTAAGTACTAACCGTAATTGTAGCGTGTTGCCTCCGACTCGGTCACCGTCTCGTCATTGTTCTCTTCATACTCTTCGTCTTCGTCATCCTCGACGAAACTGTTGTCGTCGTCCCCTTCTTCGTCATCGTCATTATTGTCGTCGTCGTCGTCGTCGTCGCCGTAGTCGTAGTCGTCGTCGTCTTCGTCTTGATTGGTGTCATCGCCTAATCGACTTCTTAGAATGGAACGATATCCACGGTTGCCTTTAAAGTTCTTGTTTGCCAATCTATTTTCGCATAATACGTAGCCATTCTGTTGATCAATGGCGGGAGCTTGTAGAAGGTTACGCTGTACCACTCGCGTTGATTCTGGAAAACGGAATGCTAAATTAGCGAGTAGGTCATTGTCATTACTATTAAGTAAAAAAATTAATTAACTAAAGCTCAAAATGGAGAACCAAGAAATTCATGTTAATAAAAATACTGAAGTTATTAAATTCGAGATGTTGTATTCAGTATGTTTCAACCGGAAGATTAAAATTTGATTGACGTTAAGTGTTTTCGATGTAGGACGTAATTTATGAAGGAATATCGTAAATATAAAGCAAGGTTTATCTCATTTCGTTCGGTCTCGGGATCAATCAAAATCACGGGATCACTCTAGCTTACATATTATCTAGAAAGTTCATGAGTTCAAGTTCACGTCGTAAGTTCAAGAATATGTAAAAATATCTTTGAAATTATAGAACATATCATTCATAGTATTGTATATTTGAAATTCGTATAATTACGTATAATTACGTATTCGATCAGTATCTTTTAACATTTCATTTCTTTCTGAAATTTAATTCTAGTAATTTTCATTTAAAAAAAATATTGAAATATCTTTCTCACTAAGTATTCTAAACTTTAGCTTTTGCTAGCACTAAGTATTCTAAAACCTTGACATTGTTTCTATTATCCTACATATATCCCAAAATTGTAAACACAACAAATTAATACCTTCGAATCTTTCACGCTCATCGTTCTCATAATCTTCGTCGAAATCAATACTTTTACTAGGATCGAGTTCTCCTTCGAAAGTGAATGTCCCGGTATTGCTTGAGATACACCCTTCAGCAGAAATGCATGGTTCTGTGAATCTGACCGCTCTCATAATTCCATCGACGATGTTTACCTCGCAGTAACATTTACCGAAGCTCTCCGGGCAACTAGAAAAGTTCACATCTTTCATCACAGTCAATGAATTCGAAGAAAATCCCTCAAAAGAACGTTGGCTCACCAAAATGACCCTGGTCCAATGCAATCTACGGCTGGTTTTCCTCTGAAAAGATCAAACGATATTTCATCAGTGTATTTCTTTGGCAAAAATGATTTTTAATTTATAAAAACGTGGAGTACTTTTTACATGCATATGAACGAAATTGAGACTCTGATCTGTGAAAATCTTTAATTAAAATAACATGACAAATAAATGGATAAAATTTTAAATGTTCAATGTAAACCAACAATGAATATTTCTTAAATACTTTTTCCTATTGTCAAACCAACAAAGATCACTTTGAGTTTTTAAAGTACAATGAATATTTCTGAAATACTTCTTTTCTATTGTCAAACTAACAAATATCACTTTGAGTGTTTGAAGTACAATAGTAATATTAATAAGCTTTTTAGAGTCAGTGAGAAAGATGAATAATGCAATTATTATTTATTGTATTTGTTTGTATTAACTTTTAGCTTTATTTACGTTACTTGATCTTGGCATGATGTAGTAGCTATCATGAATCCCCTACCACAAGTATTGTTGCATTTTGGAAAGGACCATCGCGTCCATGAAGAATTAATTTCTGCTGGAATTGAAGTTGAAGGCCCAATTTCTTCGCAGAACTTTAAATTTCAAAGTATAAAGACATCATTAACTTATAGCCTATAGATAGAAATTAGAATGAGATAATATAGAATTAAACATTAAAAAGAAAAGAAATTATATCTTTAACATTTGTTGAACATTCAGTTATTGCAGTCATTTACTCTTACAGTTGCTTAAAACATAACATTACTGGTTGTCTCTGATGGCAATTCGAGGCACATTGAGGAGTGTGTATTCCTTTGATTGTGGTCGCGGTGCATTGTGCAGTGCCACAAACCCCACGTGGAGAACACAAACTTTCAGGTAAGGGATTCAGAAAACACGTTGGAAATCCTGAACATGGCGATTTTAATTCATAGAATTCCTATAATATTTTATTGTTAATTGAAGTATATTATAACCTTTAGTCTCGTACAATCCTTGGCCCGCTAGGAGAACGGAACAGTTGCAGCTTGAAGCATTTTCGACAAGCAAAGTGATGTCGCATAATCGTCTGTGAACTCTTGCATTTGTGTTTGCATGTGGGACTGCTTCGTTAAAAGTACAATCCGTTTTTCTAAATCTTGTCAATTCCGGTGAACATAGATCCCAGGTATGAAGAGTCAAACAGGGACAAATTCCAAGGAAAAATTCTGCGACTCCAGAGTTGTCGAGAACTTTTGATTCGAAGGGTATGCTACGTAATTCGACGAACAACTAAATATTAAACAGAACTATATTGCGTGAAAGTATCGTTAAGCTTTGTATTATGCGACAAAAGAGTTTGTATTGAAATCGTTTTGCAAGGAGGAAAGTATTCTTTGTGAAGCGTTTTCTGCTTACAGCACAAAATCCTTCTCCGATTTCTACGAAAGCACATTGTTGCAGATGCAATTGCCGTACCCAGCGTGTTATATCGTAATTTGGCGACTCATTTAAATCTCTGGGTACTAGTAAAAATGGGTTCCAATTATTTACATTGAATCCATCAACGATACAGCGAGCTTTCCAACGAGAAAGGATTAATACTATCGATGACAACGTAAATATAAACATGGCCTGAGTGTTGTCATCATAAATTAATAATGATAAAAGTTAGAGGACAAACAATATATGTATAATAACTTGAAGTTGCTTCGCTTTTAATAATTTATTGATACATATTACGTATCCTACATATTGCTTTCTGAAAATATTTAATTCTGAAAATAAATAAAAGAAAATTTATAAAAAAGTAATGTCTTTTCTGATAATAGTTTAATAAACACGTAGATATAGTTTCCACGTATATTTTCATATACACTGTGTCATTTCAAGAGATATATTTTTAAAATGCCCTTTAGTACCTAAAACAAACTATTAAACTAATAATTTGTCTCAAACCCAATATTCTTACAGAGTTTTTAATCAAAATGTAAAACATGTCATGATAAGTGATATATATTTAAATACACAAATTATTGTATATAATCTGTAATTCCTTTATCACAAAATGTTATTCTAGATTTTTTTCCAAATATGCTTTTGTTACAACGTCTGTTCGAAGATGTTTAAGTGTTACAAATTCTATGCTTTTGCAACCTATAACAGGACACCTGTAAACATAATATATGGTTAAAACTATTTATGTGTGACAAATAAACTTTTTTAGTAAAATAAACTTTTTTACCTTGTCTTTTTATTAACTTTCAATATCTGTGTAATACTTTGTCGATCATAGGTGTGGCCACATATAATATTCTTCACAGGGTCCACAATTCTTCTCTTAGAGATAGGATCAATTACGTTTATATAGCCTCCTAGTAATTGTAATTCAGCATCTGTATCATTTTCTTTCTCTGCTATTCCATCTATAATACAAAATATCACCATTATTAATAAAACGTTTGTTGTATGTAAAATACTTTATTCTCCATGTTATCACAATTTTAAGTATACCTAATAGTGCTTCTACATGTTTATTAAATTGTATAAGTTTACTATCATTTGATATATCTGTACTAATTTCAGATATAGCTTGTTTATATTCCTAAAATGTTCAAAATACATTACTTTTTCCATACATATATTTTATAATTATTTATCAATACATATATTTTATAATAATTTATATTAAATAATTACATTTATGATGGATTCAATATCATTTGGTGTAACGTGACTGTCATTATCATCATTATACAAACTTGATATTCGACATTTTATTGTCTTTGTTAACTTTAATTTTTTATCTTGAATACAATTATTTTTTACTATATCCTTTAGTTCTTTTAACTTTTCATCTCTTTCATTGGATCCTACAAATATAAAAGTACAACTAAATTGAAAGAATTATAGAAATATTAAATACTTATATAAAAGAATGAAAAATACTATAAAAGTAATATGAATGAAAAGTACTAAATATTTTAACCATTTCTTTAACAGTATTGTAATTTGCAACTATTTAATACTTTTTAAATATTTGGATACTTACTTTAACCTGATTAAATTATTAAAAATTGAATTAGTTAACCTTATACATACTTACCATAATAAGCAATAATATTTGCAGCAGTTTTTGTGTAAGCATCATATAATTCTTCAATTACTTGTTGAGATTGTGTCATTTTTAATGATACTTTTCAGATATTATTTAAATTTTACATCTTATGTTTCAACGAATTTTTGTAATATATTATACATACATATCTCCATAATGTATAGACTATTTATCTAGATAAAAATCATATGATAAATGACATCTTTTTAAAATTAGACTTTATAAACTATAAGTTTTGTTTACAATTTAAACTATTACCATAATTTAAGGCAAGATAAACCTTTCATTTCAAATGTAGATGAATTATAAGTTTACAATTACTTTCTAGTCCCAGCAGTCTCCAATAGACGACAGCACACATTTTATTAGTAGACAAGGAGCGCAATAGTAAGTGATAAAGACAGACTCGTATTGTGTGATAGACAAAAAGAAGGTATTAATGCGCGACAAGGATAGCAATAGATTTTAGTTCCATCATTCTACCGCTATGTAGCGCTAGCATTTCATTATTTATAAATTTAATTTTTATTTGTAAAAAGGATTAATTAGTTGGATTAACTTATGAACTTTTGCAATTGAATCTTCGAAATTAGACCTTCAGTTTTTTTTCTACTCATTTGAAATGCATATATAAAGATTTGCAAATTTTGTTCAATAGATCGAAGCACCCGCTCGAATTCAAAGGATTGTATGTCAAAGTGTATCCTATACCAGGTTTGTGGTACATTTCTTTTGAATTTCAAAGTGAACTTTCTACATTTTGCCTTGATCTACTTTCAAACAAGTGATCAATTGTTTTCTTACATAGTTTTCCGAACATATGTATGTTTAATAGCAAAGTACCATATTGTTTGTAAATTACGATCTTCATACATACTTAAAAAATGAAAATCATAAGTTCTTTGTATTTATTTATAGTAAGTTTTCTGTTTAATATAATGTCTTTTCTCTAGTATGGATTACAAGTGTATAAAAATTTCAGCTCAGTTAAAGAATTTATTAATATCATGCAGTAATTTTATTTATATAATTCTAATATTGCGCGTTCATGTAACTAATTAAGATATTATTTGATATAGTAAAGAATTATTAGTATATTATTACTATATATATGTATGTATATTAACAAATGTATTATCAAAAGCACATAATAAAATCACTAGAAAAAGCTAGGAATTTTATTTTTTAATAAACAACTTGTTGCACAAGTTTGTTGTTTTGATAAAAGTGTAGTCATTGTAACTACTTTGCAGTTGCAAGCAGTTAATTCTATCCTGTGAAATTGGTAATGTAAGCTATTATACGTTAGTGTAAGTCTTTGATAAGAATTTAATTCAATTAGATTTATATTAATACAATGATGGAATTACAATGTGTTTATATTTAGATTAATAATACTTTATTATTTGCTATTTAACGTTGACCTTTAAAAATAAGACATTTTTAATATGCAATGTGACAAACATTACAAGTATCTTAACCAAGTATATTAACTTCTTAAATTTATAAAAATAATTTATTGTAACTAGTAACTAATTATTTTTTATTACACGTGACTAACAAAATATGGAATATTAAAAATTAAATGTAAAATAATCGAATATTTTGTCCGCTGTTTTATGTTTATTGTAAATGTAGTGTTAATTTTTATATGTAAGATGTAAAAAAAAAAGAAAAAATGAGAATTATTAGAGCAAACAACAAATTTATCAGAGGTTATAACAATGTTTTGTCGTTTAATGTTTGTAACTATTTCTAGATGTTCTTTAAAATTCCTTTATCTACAACCATCAAAGCATCACTTTCTTTGTCCTCATTAAGAAATATTCAAAGTTATTCTGTTGTCATGTCTAAATTTGACCTTCCTGATCGCTTAAAAGGCAATGATAAATCAGTATGGTAAATAACGTCTAAAATTACATTAAAAATTTAAATATGTGTACATATAAATACATGCCTTGAATTAATTTTAGGGTAGAATATATTCAGCTGGGTTTAAAATATAAACCATTAAATTTAGGGCAAGGATTTCCAGATTTCTATGCTCCAGAAAATGTAACGAAAGCTTTAGCTGAAGCAACAACAAGTGATAATCATCTTTTGAATCAATATACTAGAGGATTTGTAAATATTTCAGATTTTTAAAAATTTCATTAATTTAAATTTATATTGAATTTTGATTATTCTAGATTACAATAATTTATGAATTTTATTCTATAAAATTAAAATTTGTATTATATTTTTTTAGGGTCATCCACGTTTAGTAAATGTTATTGCAAAATTATATTCGAAACTTTTGGACCGTACTTTAGATCCAAATAATGAAGTTCTTGTAACTTGTGGTGCTTATGAAGCATTATATGATGCATTACAAGGTCACACTAATCCTGGTGATGAATGGATAATTATTGAACCATTTTTTGATTGTTATGTGCCTATAATTAGAATTGCTGGAGGAATTCCAAGATATATTCCTTTAAAACCGGTAAGTAAAGTACCAGTGTTTATATTATTTATGTTACAGTGAGCATGAACTCTTTATACATTATATATTTACATTATATATTTTGTATTTCAAAGAAAAACACAAATGGACCTTTTTCTTCTGCAGACTGGATATTTGACAAACAAGAATTAGAAAGCCTTTTCAATGAAAAGACAAAAGGAATAATTATTAACACTCCACATAATCCTCTGGGAAAAGTTTTTACTTTAAACGAGTTGGAGTTTATTGCAAATTTAGCTAAGAAATGGAATATTCTTGTTATATCGGATGAAGTGTATGAATGGCTTGTTTATGAGCCATATAAACATATTAGAATTGGTAAAAGTGTTTGATACTATTAATGTCATTCTTATTAATTATTTTATTTAAGTAATAAATATATTGTAGCAACATTACCTGGCATGTATGAACGTACAATTACAATTGGATCTGCTGGTAAAACATTCAGTGTTACTGGGTGGAAAATAGGATGGGCCTATGGTCCAGCAAATTTACTATATAATTTGCAAGTTGTTCATCAAAATTGTGTATATACATGTAACACTCCAGTTCAAGTAATTATTGAATTTTTAGGTTTATTGTTTACTTAATATAGTTTATTGTAGTTATTTAAAATTTTTTTTTGTTTCTTAGGAGGCTGTAGCTATTGGATTCGAACAAGAATTAGAAAGATTCGGTCAACCTGACTGTTACTTTGTGAGTTTAGCCAAGGAATTGCTGCCGAAACGAGATTATATGGCAAAATTTCTTAATGATGTAGGGATGATTCCAACAATTCCCGAAGCTGGATACTTTATGATAGCTAATTGGACTGCTTTAAAGGATAAGGTTCGACTAGAAGAAGAAACAGATGAGAATAAAGATTATCGTTTTACAAAATGGATGACGAAAAATGTTGGAATTCAAGGAATTCCACCATCCGCGTTCTATAGTCCCGAACATAAGCACCTGGCTGAAGATAACGTGCGATATTGCTTCATAAAGGTAAAAATATAAATAATGTCAATACCATATTTTCTTATTTTCGACCAACTTTTTTCTTTTCTACCGTAGAAAGATGAAAATTTGAAGAAGGCAGCTGATATTTTAATAAAATGGAAATCTCAGCAATAGTAAGAATTTCCATTATTCCAAATAATTATCGAGTTACTTGAATATCGTAAGACTACTTTTGAGATTTTATTTAAATATTCTAGTATGAAATACAATAAACAATTTTTCACACGTATATTATGTACAATTTCTGTAAACATATTGTTAGTTTTGTTGTATTAAAATTTTATTATTCATGAGATTATCGTACATCGTGTTTTATGCAGAGAAATCGCCACGGAGCCATCTTTTCGCATCTTTGGTGTCAGCTCCGAAAGTTTTGCCAAATCTAAACGTAAGATTTAACATTCAAAATTAAATTTATAACATATCTGCAGAAATGATTACCTGAACGTTTCTCCAGGGATATGCCCGAGATAATTTGGAAGCATGCCAACATGTTTGTGATAAATAGTAGTGGGTTGAATTATGAGTGGCGGATCAGGTCGTGATATTGTTACTGGTGCCCATTCTGTACTTTGTCGCTTTCGATACTCAGATGTAAAATCACAAAGGGCACTATTTGTAGCGGCAACGTTTGTTTTTCCAAAATGCGCATATCCGTACGGTATGTAACCCGTATACCCTTGGGAGATGCAATATTAAAAATTTTACATTGTCACAAGGAAAAATAATTAACGTTTATTCTTCTGATTTTCACACTTACTTCTTGCATTTTCTCGAATGAAAGAAAAGCGCATCCGTTCTTCACTGTCCGTAAGATCCATCTATTCTATTATCTATTGTTAATGTGATTGTAGAAACAGCATTACCTATTTCTTATATATATATATCCTTTGAGTCATTTCAGGTTGAATTTGTGAAAATCATGAACGATTGAATATCTTGTCAAAACAGTTGAATCTTACGGAACATCGTTTATATAACTTTCATACCGTAGGATCATTTGAAGGCAAATTCAAGTTAATAACGACTTGATAAATTTGACTCACCACTCATAAAGTGTTTTCGTGGGTTTGCATTGTCCATGAAGTAAGGGGATGGGGAGTGATCTCTGGGTGTTTCGTGTTGCTCGTCCAAAAATAAATTCCTCATTACACCCACGCAATCAGGTCGAACTGTTAGCATAGGTAGTTTGTACTCACTTTTTATGAGCTGCATAAGAAATTCAAAAATCAAGTTTATCGTTATTATTCTTTCTTTTTTTCAGTTTACCAAACGGTCTTCCAAGTTTCTTGGCTCGCCCTGTCCACTTTGCGTGGCTATAATTTTTTTAACTTCATTAAGAGCTGCTTTATTCTGCAATTGCTGTCGTTCAAATTCGGCAAGCCCCTCTGTAGCAAGCACCGTGTATCTCTGCCCATTCCTGGCCATTAGCTTTGGAGTAAATCCTGAAATGAGAGAATTCATTTCTTCATTTAATGCTCATTTTCACTTCGTATAACGTACCTTCGTATCCTGGTTTTATAGGATGAACGAATATAGGATCAGTCCTTTTATACCTAGTATTTACTGTATCTATGTCGTCTTTTGGTGGTCTCTGCACCTACAGTCGATTGTTGATCATTGTAAATAAATATATTATCGTAATTAGTTTTGACTGACAGATCTAAATAATAACTAAGTCAAAATATGTCATAGTACTTCGTAATCGTCGGTGATACGGTTCGACAAAATGAGAGTTTCCGCATGATTTACTGTGGGATCAAGAAGTAATTTGTGCGTCAGGCTTGCATACGTTTCGCCACATCTGTAGCGATATTGAGGACAGTATCCGGCATATCTGAAACGAACTTTTATGAAAATATAACGGGAGAAACCTAGCAGGATGTATGAAAGTATAAGAGGTAATAGATTTAAATATTTCCTTGTGCAACACTTCTTAGAAAACGTGTAATATATTACGCTTTCGCAGATAATGTATTTATATCTCTTTATGTTTGATGGGTAAACATTGTGCTATTTACCCTGGAATAAGATGTGGTTCCGCTGTGGATAATAATTCTGTCCCAGCAGACATTTTTCTGATCTACACTTCTAACAGCACGTCAATTTACTTGAATACATTATCCAGATTGACTGGTGTTCAAATTATTTTTCCATACAGGAATTTTATTTTCTTTTTTTTTTTTTTTTGGAAAAACCTTAATTTATTGACATGGCTACCAAACGGTCATACGCTGAATTTTGCTTTAGAACTCGTTCCCCTTTATTCCCCTTGAAACTTGAAACAAACGAATATTCAAGAAGAAGCAGTATTTATGATCTGAGGTGGGGAGTAGCTCAGTCGGTAGAGCATCAGACTCTTAATCTGAGGGTCCAGGGTTCGA